GTGGGAATTTCAAAATCATTACTCCCCCCAGCACAATCACTCTAATTTCACTGCAAATTACTCCAAATTTATGGAGTTAACTAACTTTAGAGACACTAACAATAATAGTCAGCCTCACCTTAAGTGCTGATATAAAACCCATAATGATTATAAGTAATAAATTTTAAAAGATAGAGTAATTTAGCTAATGTGGTATATTGGAATGGCAAACACACAGGGTCACCTCATTAATGTTTTTCAGTTAGAAATGAAGAAGTGCCAAAGCAATAATCTAAACTGGTTCACATACAATTTTTGCAGAAATGGCCGAGCAAGTAAGAGTTGGAGGCAAAACCATAAATATATTTAAAACTTACCAAATGAAGTAGCATACATATAAACTGAATTGATTGTTCATCAACAAGTTAATTTTAAGTTAAAGTACAACCATGGTGGTTGAAAAAGAGAAGCTCAAGTTGTTGTTGTCCATGTGTAAACCTGGCCTCCACTTGTGGCTCCTGCAAGCATCCCAATCTGGTAAGGGTGTGTATCAAAGCGGCATGGAATTGCAGACAAATTTGGGCTCTGTATAGGCGCAACACGTACTCTCCTAGCCGTGGAGATAACATGAACTTCTCTTTTCATATTACCAATGAAGAGATATGAATCATCCCAACCCCATATTGCTCTGCTTTTTCAACAAAAAGAATTAGCGATCAATCCCATCTTATATAGATAGATACAAAGTTTTATATACAAATTTCTTGCGTTAAAATGAAGATCCAAAAGGTCGAGATTAATTTATCCTATTAAATCTTTTAATCACCAAAAGAACAACAAATCGTGCACGAGTATTGGTTATTTTCACACTAAATACTCTTAGAATTTGTATTGTGAAATTTTCACAAAAAGAAGGAAAAGGGGGTACAAAATCTATCCAACTCGACAGTTCAATTGTTGAGAAGGTAAGATGTATTGCATTTGCGTCATTTAGTGGCTTTTTATCTAATGCTAGGCTAGTAGGGTTCGATTTAAATTGAGTTGATAACCTTAGATAATTTAGTTTTGAACCTAAGAAACATGGGTACGTACACACGACATGACACATACAAGCTAGAGCGCCAATTTTTAAAACAACATGCCATGTGGCAAACGAGCACAAAATGTATGGCTTTATATATTTATTATGTGTCATCATGAATATTTCATCTAAAGATATGAAAAATAGAAGATAACACTAATTTCTAAAGTTTAAAAGAAAAGGAATTAATAGGCATAAATCTATGTTGTTATTCTTTTATCATTGGATCCCAAATTATTTTGTTCAAACTTGTAATGAGTTTCCAAGTAACTTTAAGGGATGGACACATGTGTCTCCCAAGTGTTTGAAATGTGAAGGAAAAGATATAAAAAATAAAAAGGTATGTTTGGACCTATGTCTGACACATGCTGTGAAGTGTCCAACGAGGTTCAATGTTTGACATGGACATGCCACCTTCAAACGCATTGGTATTGATGCAATACAATCAAAAATTGAAAATTACTTGTTTAATTAACTGTGTTTTTTTGTTTTTTAAGACTTTAGTAGTAGAGGTCTATTGTTGTCTGTTCTCTCCTTTACTTTCCAATTTATGTAAATATGCTTGGTTAGATCATAATCAATATTCATCTCAAAACAGCTCAGGAATAAAGTAAAGAAGAAAAGAGAATCAATTCCTGTGTTTCTTTAATGAGAAAATGACTGTTTGAATGGAGTTTAATTCTTCCTGTTTCTTCTATTTGTGTTCTATTAGATCAACAATTGATATGCAATATTTTGAGGTAAATGATGATCAAGCCCACCCTGGACTGAAACCGGCAAAGATGGTGGCCGGTTGTGATTGGCTACAGGTGTGGGACCCACAAACCTACAGCCAATCACATCTGATCACCTTGGTTTGTTTTGGCTCAGGAATGGGCTTGAATAGAAAAATTCATATTTCTGAAATAACTCATACTGAAAGAGTGATTTTTTTATTTTAACTATTGTTTTACAAAAAGGTTAACTTTTCTCTTAACTATCAAATGATTAATTATGTGTTGTTATGTGTATCATTGATCACACTGAATGAATGATATAAATTCATAGATAATGTGATAGTAAAAGTAGCATTTGGCAATGTGTAACCATTATGGAGTTGTCAATGATGAGATTTTGTAAGAGAAATACCATCCACCTTGTTAGCATGATTTTGAAAAACTACATAAACTCCATGGATAATTAACAAATCAATGTTTTGACAAATAGGAAGATTAAAGAAGTATTTTCTAAATTAGTTGTGAATATAGTAAAAATGGTACCAGACATTTGACATTAATAAGTTCCCAAATAAGTTCATTGAACCAAAATGAAGTGCATGAGTGCATGTGTAATTTTTTTTTTTTTTACAGATGAGAGTATTGAACACTGAAAAAGTCCACAAGGATTTCAAAAGAGCCAGTTAAAAGTTCCAATCATCACAGCAAAAGTATAACAAGCTCAACTCTTATTTTCAGTAAAGTTTAGGACAGAGAGCTTTAAAGTTGACCCATCAAATACTTAAATACATTGGTTTAGTTCCAATAAAATGGGAAAGGCTTGTATGTATGAGATTCATACAAACTTTTTTTTTTTTTTTTTTTAAACAAATTCACCGAAAACAACAGCAACAATCAATTTCAAAATATTATTGGTGATCTCAAACAAATTTCTACAAATCTCAACCAAACAACGACAATGTCAAGCAACCTCAAGCAAAGATTCCAAAATCTAAAGTAAATTTTAAACAAGAACTACCTATATTTCAATATGCCTACGAATTTGGTCTTGTGATATGTGATATGCGATCTACGAATAGGGCTACAATCTGCGAGAAAGGTTTGTGATCTTTGATCTCGTCGACTGATGTTTACCGAAGAAGGGATTGAGATGTTAGATCCTCGTCAACTGATGTTCACCGGAGAGAGATGAAAGAGATGGAGAGAAAGCGGGGGGTAGGATGTTGACTGTGAGAGACCGATCGACAACGATAAGAGACCCTCGTTGATAGTCCCTTGTTCATCGAAGAGAACAATAGAGAGAGAGAGAGAGAGAGAGAGAGACTCTCACAGTCGTTGATGAGAGAGACTGAGGGGGTCGGTGATGAGAAGCTTCTGGATTGGGAGAGCAAAAATGAGAGAGAGATAAGAGAATGAAAAGGATGGAGAGAGAGAGAGAGAGAGAGAGAGACCAAAGTGGCCTGATGATCCAAAAAATAATAATTTTTAAGTAATTTTTTTTTTCAAACAATAATCTCTAAGTGATTTTTATTTTTCAATGGTGGAGTGAATTATATACTCCTATATATATTTTCAAATTTAAATTTTTGTTTAGTTAGGTATAGTGTAAATATTTAATTTTTTTATAAAACAAATTAAATAGTCATAAAAGACAAAAAAAAAAAAGGGTGATGTCGGTGGTAGCACTGAAGGAGGAGAACGGGTAACGTCAGTGCAGCACTGAAGGAGGAGAACAAGCTAAAGGAGGAAAGGGGGGGCTGAAGGTAGAGAACGTGTGTTTTGCATGAGAGAGGTGAGAGGAAAACTGAAGCACTTCATCAAAAAAAAAAGGGAGAGGGTAAATTAGTAGGTTTTTTTTTTTTTTCATTACCGCCAATATTACAAAGTTCTCTCTCCAAAATTAGTGATAAAATAATTTTCTCACCAAAAATGAAAATATATTTTTCATCAAATAGTTTTAAAATATTTAAAATCAATTTTTTTAAAAAAATATTTAAAATTATTGGTGATGAAAATAGATTCCTCACTAATAATTTTATAATTAGTGACAAATTTTTTTCTCATCAAAAGTCCCAAAATTTTGGCGTCACCCAAAAAGATTAAAGGGAAAATCTTTGGTAACGAAATTTAATTTTTCCTCACCTAAAAAGAAATATTTATTAACGAAAATAAATTTCGTCACCTATTATTTTTACTTTTTTTATTATATATGATAAAATTTTATAATTCATAATGGATTATTCTTATTTAGTGACGAAATTTATTTTCTTCATTACTTTTTCATCACCATAGGTTACTTAGAGAGCTAATTAACTTGTGTTTAGTTTTGAGAGAGAGAGAGAGAGAGAGAGAGAGAGTGGAGAGGAAAACTGATAAACAAAAAAAAGAGGGGCGAGTTAGTAGTCTATTTTTTTTCATTACCACCCAATATGTCAAAATTTTCTCTCCAAAATTAGTGACAAAATAATTTCCTCACTAAAAAGTCTCAAAATATTAAAAATTATTAGTGATAAAAATATATTTCTCACCAAATGGTCTTAAAAATATTTAAAATCAAGTTTCTCAAAAAAAAAATATATATAAAATTATTGGTGATGAAAATATATTCCTCACTAATAATTTTATAATTTGTGACAAAAAAAAATTTCTCACCCAAAGTCTCAAAATTTTGGTGCCACCAAAAAAAATTAGCGAGAAAACCTTCGGTGATGAAATTTAATTTTTCCCCACTTAAAAAGAAGTATTTGTTGACGAAAATTAATTTCGTCACCTATTATTTTTATTTTTTTATTATAAGTGACAAAATTTTATAATTTGTCACAGATTATTCTTATTTAGTGACGAAATTTATTTTGTTCACTACTTTTCGTCACTATAAGTTACTTTTTGAAGAAAGATTGAATTATGTTATTTTTTCTGCCATTGTGATTTCCAAATCACAAAATTTGATGTATCAAGTTTAACTGTAACAAAGGAGGATAGATTGGAAAGAAGCAAAGAGAGATCTGGTGGAAGTGTAAATTCAGAACTCGAAGCAGCCATGGATGCTTGTGCTCGGAGGAGCTCAATGCTCTGATACCATGAAGAAAGATTGAATTATGTTATTCAAATCACAATAACAGTAAAGCCATTTACATGGTGTATATATACACCTTTAGAACTAGTTACAATCAGTTACTAATAACAGAGTTAGAAACTAATTCGGATATAGACTATAACAAACTCTAACTGACTGATGGAGGAGATACTGTGTGTGCATCTGCAGGAGGAGTAATACTGCAGCTATCCTGATTATCTGGTATAGGTGATATCTTATCAGGCCCCGACAAGCTGATGGGGTGATGAAACTCCATGAGCTTGGATTTGAGATAAGAAAACCGGCCAACAGACAAGGGTTTAGTGAAGATATCCGCTAACTGATCGGTGGTAGGAATGTATTGCAAATGCAATTGTTTAGCAAGAACTTTGTCACGAATGAAGTGACAATCAACTTCTATATGCTTTGACCGAGAATGAAACACCGGATTATTTGCGAGAGCAATGGCGGAGACATTGTCACACCAAAGGATAGGAAGAGTAGGAAGAGGAATGTCAAGATCATGTAGGAGCATAAGTATCCAGGTGAGCTCAGCAGTGGTGTGAGCAAGGGCTCGATACTCGGCCTCAGTAGAACTTCGAGAAACAGTAGCCTGTTTCTTGGCAGACCACGATATAAGATTGGAACCCAAGAAAATACAATAACCAGAGGTAGACTTGCGGTCAAGAACATCCCCGGCCCAATTGGAGTCAGAAAAGGCATGAACATCAAATGTACTAGGAGAAAACTGTAAACCATGATGAAGGGTGCCTTTGACAAAGCGAAGAAGGCGCTTAACAGCAGAGAAATGGCCATTGGTAGGGGCATGCATATGTTGGCAACATTGATTAACGGCAAGAGATAAATCCGGCCTGGTAATGGTAAGATATTGCAAAGCTCCCACCAAACTTCGATAGAGAGTAGGATTAGAATAAGGAGCTGTAGAATGAGGCTGAGAAGTAGGTTTAACAGCAAGAGGAGAAGAACACGGCTTGCAATCAGATAAACCAGCCTTAGTGAGAATGTCTTGAGCATATTTTTGCTGGGATAAAAAATAGCCAGAAGAGGGAGAACCATGGATAGAAATACCAAGGAAATAGGAGATATTTCCTAATTCTTTCATGGAAAACACTTGATGCATCTTTGTAATAAGGGATTGAAGATGAGAAGAATCATTGCCAGTAAGCAAAATGTCATCGACATAAACCAACAGCAGTGTGAGGCTGCGGACCAGGAGGCTGGGCAGCAGAAGGCAGAGAAGCAGATCTGGGATGATGAGAAATAGAACGGAGCTGCCTAGAAGGCAAAGGAGGAGAAGACCAAAAAAACTGATGTAAAGAAGACAAAGAAGAAGATGCAGGTGTAGACTGAGAAAGAGTATGAAAAGGGAAACAAGATTCATTAAAATGAACATGCCTAGAAAGATACACACGACCTGTAAGAGGGTCTAAACACCTGTAACCTTTGGCAAATGGATGATATCCTAAGAAGACACAAGACATAGAGCGAGGTTGAAGCTTATGAGTCACATAAGGCTTGAGCCAAGGGAAACATTGACATCCAAAAACTCGAAGATGAGAGTAATCAGGAATGGAGTGAAACAACAACTCAAAAGGAGATTTATGAGCTAGCTGAGAAGAATGCAACCTGTTGATTAAAAAAGTAGTTACAGCAATGGCATCAAACCAGTATTTAAGAGGCATAGAAGTATGATGTAATAATGCAATAGTGGTATCAACTATATGCCTATGCTTTCTCTCGGCAACACCATTCTGAGATGGTGTGTAAGGACAAGAATGCTGATGAACAATACCCTCGGAAGCAAGAAAATGAGTCATTTTGTTATTAAAAAATTCAGTGCCACCATCTGTTCGCAGAATTTGTAAAGGAGTCTGAAATTGTTTTTCCACATAGGCTTTAAACTCAATGAATTTGGAATAAACCTCACTCTTAAAAGATAAAGGATAAATCCAAGTGAATTTGGAAAAATCATCCACAAAAAGCACATAAAATTTGTAAGAAGAAGCAGATTGAAAAGGCCCCCATACATCACTATGAATTAAGGAAAGAGGTTGATTGCTAGTGGAATTAGACAAATGAAAAGGAAGCCTATGGCTTTTAGCAACACAACAGTCAACACAATTTGAAGAGACTGTCTTATGTGCAACATTATTAGAAACAAACTTCAAATACTTCCTAAGATGAGACAATTTCAGTGAACTTGGATGACCAAGTCTATTATGCCAAATGTCCTCAGTAGCAGAGGTTGAGGAATTCTTAGAACTAAGATGAGCTTGTGGACAACATGCAGCAGCAGATGAAGATGGAAGGAAATGATAGAGACCATTGATGTTAGTTCCTTTGTGAAGCACTCTCTTCGAATGCTTGTCCTGAATCACAAAGTTAGCATCATCAAATGTAATAAAACAATTGTTATCTCTGGCTAATTTGTGAACAGAAAGCAGATTTGAAGAAATAGAAGAAGTGTGAAGAAGAGTGTTTAATTTGAAAGAATGGTGAGGAGTAGGTAAAAGCCCTTTACCAGTGTGATGAATTGGTATAGAATTACCATCTCCAATAGTAATTTGATCAGAACCTTGGTAAGGTTGGTAGCAACTCAAATTACTCATATCATTGGTAATGTGATCAGTGGCCGCAGAATCAAGGTACCAAGGCACTTGTGCAGTAGATGAATCTGTAACTGAAGCAGTGGAAGAAGCCACAAATGCTTTGGAGTGTTGAGCAGATGGTGTGGAGGAGGAACCAGGAGAAGAATGAAATTGAGAATCCATTCTATACCAACAATCAATGGCTATATGACCAAAACCTCCACAGATTTGACATTGAGATGGAGGAAAAAACGATCTGCCGCGTCCGCGATTAGCACCACCTCTATTATAATGATAGCCTCTAGACTGAAACCGTCCACCTCTAGTACCTCGAGACTGAGATCTGCCTCCTCTGTAACCAGAACCACGAGATGAAGAGTTGCCTTTAATAGAGGAGAAGGCAACTGCTGGATCAGAAGAAGACTTCTGGAGTTTAGCCTCCATATGGATTTCTTCAGAACAAAGAAAAGAAGACACCTCTTCCATAGTAATAAAACCAGATCTGGCTCGAATGGAAGTAGTGAATGCATCAAACTCATCTGGTAATCTGTTGAGAGTTATCAACACTAAATCTTCATCGTCAATCAACACCGAAGCAAGAGCTAACTGATCAATTACTTCTCTGATTTTTCCAAGATAGACAGTCATTGAATCAGTTTTCTTAGAAATACTATTCAATTGGTTCTTCAATTGATGAACATGAGATCGTGAAAAGGAAGTGTAACGCTGATGCAAGACAGACCATACTTCAGAACAATGATTACAGTTTAAAACCGTGGAGTATATAGATGGAGAAAGAGTAGCAGTCATGCAACTCAACAGATGTGCATCAACACGATTCCATTTCACTCGATCTGGATTGGAAACACTCTTACCTGAATCATCAAGAACAGTTAATGGTGGACATGAACTTGGATCATCAACATATCCAAGAAGTTCTGTAGCTCGCAGAATTTTCTGCCATTGTGATTTCCAAATCACAAAATTTGATGTATCAAGTTTAACTGTAACAAAGGAGGATAGATTGGAAAGAAGCAAAGAGAGATCTGGTGGAAGTGTAAATTCAGAACTCGAAGCAGCCATGGATGCTTGTGCTCGGAGGAGCTCAAAGCTCTGATACCATGATGAAAGATTGAATTATGTTATACAAATCACAATAACAGTAAAGCCATTTACATGGTGTATATATACACCTTTAGAACTAGTTACAATCAGTTACTAATAACAGAGTTAGAAACTAATTCGGGTATAGACTATAACAAACTCTAACTGACTGATGGAGGAGATACTGTGTGTGCATCTGCAGGAGGAGTAATACTGCAGCTATCCTGATTATCTGGTATAGGTGATATCTTATCAGGCCCCGGCAAGCTGATGGGGTGATGAAACTCCATGAGCTTGGATTTGAGATAAGAAAACCGGCCAACAGACAAGGGTTTAGTGAAGATATCCGCTAACTGATCGGTGGTAGGAATGTATTGCAAATGCAATTGTTTAGCAAGAACTTTGTCACGAATGAAGTGACAATCAACTTCTATATGCTTTGACCGAGAATGAAACACCGGATTATTTGCGAGAGCAATGGCGGAGACATTGTCACACCAAAGGATAGGAAGAGTAGGAAGAGGAATGTCAAGATCATGTAGGAGCATAAGTATCCAGGTGAGCTCAGCAGTGGTGTGAGCAAGGGCTCGATACTCGGCCTCAGTAGAACTTCGAGAAACAGTAGCCTGTTTCTTGGCAGACCACGATATAAGATTGGAACCCAAGAAAATACAATAACCAGAGGTAGACTTGCGGTCAAGAACATCCCCGGCCCAATTGGAGTCAGAAAAGGCATGAACATCAAATGTACTAGGAGAAAACTGTAAACCATGATGAAGGGTGCCTTTGACAAAGCGAAGAAGGCGCTTAACAGCAGAGAAATGGCCATTGGTAGGGGCATGCATATGTTGGCAACATTGATTAACGGCAAGAGATAAATCCGGCCTGGTAATGGTAAGATATTGCAAAGCTCCCACCAAACTTCGATAGAGAGTAGGATTAGAATAAGGAGCTGTAGAATGAGGCTGAGAAGTAGGTTTAACAGCAAGAGGAGAAGAACACGGCTTGCAATCAGATAAACCAGCCTTAGTGAGAATGTCTTGAGCATATTTTTGCTGGGATAAAAAATAGCCAGAAGAGGGAGAACCATGGATAGAAATACCAAGGAAATAGGAGATATTTCCTAATTCTTTCATGGAAAACACTTGATGCATCTTTGTAATAAGGGATTGAAGATGAGAAGAATCATTGCCAGTAAGCAAAATGTCATCGACATAAACCAGAAGAATAGTGAGAGTGGTAGGAGTCTTCTGAATAAACAAAGAGGAATCACATTTACTGTTGAAAAATCCCTGAGATAAGAGAAATGCTGAAAAAGTGGAGTACCAAGCCCGGGGGGCCTGCTTGAGGCCATATAAAGCCTTGTGAAGCTTACAAACATGAGTTGGTGCAGAAGAAGACACAAAACCAGGGGATTGAAGCATAAACACCTCTTCTTCAAGCAAACCATGAAAAAAAAGCATTTGAAATATCCAATTGTTTCAAGGGCCAGTGATAATGAAGGGCAAGACATAAGAGAATGCGAATAGTAGGTTGTTTGGCAACGGGACTGAAAGTCTCTTGAAAATCAATACCATGTTGTTGAAGATACCCCTTAGCCACCAACCGGGCTTTGTGTCGGGCAATACTACCATCGGAATTTCTCTTAATTTTAAAGACCCAGCGGCAGCCGATAGCTTGTTTGTCAGAAGGCAAAGACACAAGAGACCAAGTATGTTGAGTATGCAAGGCATTCATTTCTTCTTGCATAGCCTGAAGCCAAATAGGGGATAAAAGAGCCTCTTTATAGGAGGGTGGTTCAGTATCAACAAAGGGAAAAGAAGAAGTAGGCTTTGAGGCTGGTGTGAAGGCTGAAAAAGAAGCTTTAGACCGAGTGATCATAGGATGAGAATTAAGAGTTGGAGGTGGAGGATGTAAAGGAAGTTGAATGGTAATGGACTGGATAGGGATAGGCGGCTGCAGAGGAACAGAGGAAACATGGGAAGCTGGGGCAGCATGAGGCTGGCTTGGTGCAGACCCGTGCCGCAGACCAGCAGAAGGCAGAGGAACAGAATGGGGCGGCAGAGCAGCAGATCTGGGTGGCAGCAGAGGAGAAACAGCAGTGTGAGGCTGCGGACCAGGAGGCTGGGCAGCAGAAGGCAGAGAAGCAGATCTGGGATGATGAGAAATAGAACGGAGCTGCCTAGAAGGCAAAGGAGGAGAAGACCAAAAAAACTGATGTAAAGAAGACAAAGAAGAAGATGCAGGTGTAGACTGAGAAAGAGTATGAAAAGGGAAACAAGATTCATTAAAATGAACATGCCTAGAAAGATACACACGACCTGTAAGAGGGTCTAAACACCTGTAACCTTTGGCAAATGGATGATATCCTAAGAAGACACAAGACATAGAGCGAGGTTGAAGCTTATGAGTCACATAAGGCTTGAGC